CTTTCAGTAACTGGACAGAACCCCACTCTTTCTCCATCACCTTTTCTAGTTACTGCCCAGAACTAAAGCAGTCCCAAACCTAAATGAAAAACCTCAACAAGTTTCCTGTAAAGACTGACCCAGGGTATTTGCTCATGTACTGAGCAGCAGGTGACCACGTGAATCCTTTCTGTCACTGGCCCTGATTACAAATGACAAGTGCCAGCTATTCTTGGCCTTAAAGGGTCTGTTCCCATTAAAGAGGCAATAAATGTTTCTATATTGACAAGCCTTTACTCTTCTGCATGTTTAACATTGTGTTAAAGCTTTTGTGTACGTTTCCAGAAACACTTCTAGTCTAGGTCCATTCTGATGAGGATGGCTAATCGAAGAGCATCGTCCCCTACACTGCTGGTGATAAAACATGTCCTGATAGTGCTGCTCTTTGAATGCTAAAAAATGGGACAATCCTTATAATGTGGCTTCGAAGTTTGACCACCGTAAGACAAATCTTTGTCAGCTCTGTACCACTATTGCCTTACCCAGAGTAAGGTCTAATATGCCAGTTTTTGTCCACTTATGAAATAGCAAACTGTGGAGAAAACTAAGCAAAGACAACACCTGCAACTGCTCTGGGTGAGCTGCAGAGGTGGGCTTCATTCTTGTTTGATCAGGGAGTCAGAAGAATCTCCTTCTGCAACAGAGGCCAACAGCTGGCAGGATTACCTGGGCAACATCCTACTCTGACAAGTGTTTGAGATAGATCTAATGAGACAAATGTTACTGTCCTGTTTATTAAGAAAAGGTAGCTAAGAATTTCTGTCTTTGCCAGCAATGCTATTCCAAGTACTTTAGAAAGAGCAATCACACATCATGTGCATCACATTAAGTCTGTGTCCTTACAAAGCCTGCTTCGACATCCCACTTCACGAACGAGAAAACTGAAGCACTGAAATGCCTGGCGTTGGAAAACTAAATAATAATCAAGTTCCATCCGTCTACATAAGATAATTCAAGAGGTTACAAATATATGACAGCTCCATGACTAACATCCCCAAGAGACTACCACTGTGCAGGAAATGGCTTTCATCTAAATTTTGATCTTTTTTTTTTTTTTCCAATTGCATAGTTTCCTATGATTGGTTACACTAACAGAGTTCACCGAATACCTTTGGAAAGACAATGTTTCTGACTGTCACTTGCCAATTTTTTTAGCCAATGACATTAGAGGCAGAGATTTCCAAAGCAATCAATCATTTTAAAAAAGTATAATAGGGAGTTAATAAACTTTTACATCCAGAAAGTGTTAGATCACAAGAGGTGGTCTTTTTGCCTAAACAATTTTACAGCATTGAATATTTGTACCTAAGTGCTTGTTAGCAATTCCAATAAATGAGTTTTCTTTTTTTAAAGTAGGCGGTATATTTTGGTAGTAACAAAACCTCAGAAATGTATGCAAAACGCACAAGCACGTTGCAAAAACGTGAGCTAGATATGTTGAATAAACAATCCTTCTGATATTATTTGTTTGCCTCTGATGTTACGATTTAATATCCTAAAGTCTACTAAGAATTACAGTATTCCAATATACTGAACAACCTTCACAGGTGGTCCAAAGCTGCCTCCTGAGTTTTTATTTTTTTTAATTAATCAAACAAACAGAAGTAAATGATGGATTATTTATTGAAAAGTCAATCACCCATGTATAAGCAAGATTTGGGGATATTAATATCATCGGATATCTAGGATACTTCTTTTCCACAACTGATTTCACACCAAATTTACCTTGATAATTTAACATTAAGAAATGAAAATGCTTTAGCACTTACAACAGGTACACGCTATTATTATACAATAGCTGCAGGTTTTCAACATAACATATAACAGAGAAACAATGGTATGTATGAAAAATTAAAGGAACAAAGTACGAACTACAAAAGATGAATAAATATCAACAGTTGAAAATCAGAAGAATAAAAATGAGGGAGTGGGGAGGCCAATCCTGCACTTGTATAAAATAGTTTGAAATTACTATTACAAGCAAAAAAGAAAAAGTATTAAAACCGTGGCTTCCCACAGAGTCATTGGTTTTACGGCCAAAAGGATTCAGTGCGACCATCCAGTCTAATTTTGCCCAGACCACGTTTCTCCTGTACCAAAAAAATGCCCTCTTTATAGACATGCAAGCAAATCTTTTAAAACTGATGGTAACTACTGACAGTCTTTGCATAGCAGAGAATGTCCCGACCTCCTGTGGTAACTTCCTTCACTGATAAAATGTTGCAGTTCATTTCCTTGGTACATCTGTCTAGTAGATGTTCAACTCCGAGACTGCAGAGCCTTGTGTCATAAAAATAGGTTCTTCCCAAGCAGGTAATGGGAATGATTTTTACCCTTACTCTACCTTCTGAATAGAAAATTATTGACTATGGAAACGATGCAAAAGACTTAAAGCTGAGGAGAGGCTACTTCTGCTCTGTAAATCTTGGACCAATCCTTTGAGCTACCTCTTCTACCATTTTCTACCATCTATCATTTAGCAACAGCATGAGCAAACCCCTGGGTGCACAAAGCATGTCTGGACAAAAGGCTGACAAACTGCACAAAACATACAACAAAACAGAGCAGAGGTGAAGAAGGAAAAAGCACGAGAGAAAAGTATTTGCAGTATGGCATCTTGGTTCCTATGCTCTACTGTGTAAGGACTGACCTTCCCACTGAGACAGCCAGTTTGTTTTTTTAAAGATTCTTTATGCACACCAAAGCATGCTTGCCTGGAATACAGTTATTTTTCACTAATTGTAGAACCAGCTGGATCTTTTTTTTCAAGGCTTAATCCAAGTCCAATTGACTCCGGCACACATTAGTTGGTTATTTAATTGCTAGTTAGCGACTTTGGTAGATTTTAGATCTGGTGCTTAAGACTATAATTCCCCACTGATTAACATCTTATGCACTGTTTATTCCCATGCAGGATTGGCTCCCTCATCTTACAGTTTCTGAAATGGCAGAACTAGAAACCTTTATTACTATCCAATTTTAATCGACACAAAACAGCTGAAGTTAAACACAAGGCAGCACATTGCACACAGAGTAACAGGACATCTTATAGGAGGGTTTCATCTTGCCGGGAAAAATCAATTCAATCAGTTTCTTACATAATTTTCTGAGAATAGTGCAAGGCTTGTGAAAGCTGATGCGGTCACCCAGTACTAGAAAGTATCTCAATTTTATGCGTTTATTGTTAATGTTTTAAGTGGAGACAAGTTACTTATACACATGGAATACTGTAAACTATACTGGGTGAAAGGCTGAAATCCAAAACCTTCATGCTTTCTCTTAAACTTCATACATAGTGAAACACCAGCAGAATGAATTAAGCACTGTAACTGCATGTACTAACCCTTAGTGAGGAAGAAACCTGAATTAGAATTCAGCACCAAGATAAGCAACCATTTGCATCCAGATGTATATTAATATCTCTCCCAACTGCGTAATTTGGTATGGCATTTCGATCTGCTCAAAACCAGTGACAAACAGTCCAGGGATTCTAACTTGCTCCAACCATTCTAATTATCAGCTAAAAATCTCACACATGTGCCTGTTGCAAAGGACCAGTGAGCATTTAAATCATTACTCAAGTATAAAAGATAATATCAAAGCTAGAAGAAATTTAAAAAAATAGTTACTGGGCTATTATTCCAAGAGCTTAAACACACATTCATTTTTAAGCCTGAGAACACAGTTCTTAAATTTACCTGAAATCTGAGCTTGATGAAAAATCATAAGCGTACACAGATGGGGTTTTCTGGAGGTGTGACGGAGTCTATTCAGGCCAGTTTGGTAGACCCAGCAGTTAAAATAAGTAGCTGTTTTCGTAAATGCATGTTTGAAAACTGTCTCCACTATGCTCTGCTCCCCAAAATTTCACTTTTCTTAGGAGACACAGTGCTCACACTCAAACTGGTGAGGAAATACCAGTCCTCTTTGTCCTTCTAGTTCTGCAGACCTAGACTTCCCTGTCTAGAAGGTATGAACAGTGCAAAACATTTGGGAAAAGAGGCATGGGAAGTCTCCGGGTCTATTGAAGGGATGGTGTGAAGCTTCTGTCACTGAAGCAGTGCCTAGTACTGCTCTGTCCTCTGTTCATCCCTGCTGTGGAAGTCCAGCCCATGCTCAAACCCGGGGATGACTCAAGCTGTTTTGGATATCTCCACAGAACACGGGATGGGAAAACTTCTATATAAATACCATAATAGTTAAAAAAAACCCAAACCAAACCAACCAACCAAAAACCCCCCAACACCTCATCATTAAATTTTCACCACCCCCGCCTTCAAAGTCCAGCCAGGGAAGATGAGTTTGGATTTCAAGGTTAATAAAGACAATATTTGGAGACCAGTGGTTTTCCCGCTGGTAGCCTGTCACCCATCCTGTCATCCATGCACGGGCCTTCTTTTCTTGCTTGCAACAATAAACAAGTAATTTCTCTTTCCTAACTCTGCTTGCTCATGCCTCTTGAGTTTTGTTAGTAACCAGCAGCAACACAGATACATCTGCTGGGGACCCTAAGCGCAGGGCAGCCAGCAAAGAACTTTTTAGACCTCAAGCATTTTTAGCCTCTCTCTTTTCCTTCACAAGATTTCCAGCCTATGAAAATCTGCTAACAAGCAGGATGGGCCTTGTTCCTTAATGGATGGCCACTTTGAAGGATGGGGTATTTTGCTAACAGGAAAGTGTTAATTTTTCTTGTTAAGCAGTGATTTTCATGATGTACTATTTAATTAATAAACCTAAATTATATTTGCACAGTAAGCCATAAGGGTGATGGTATGTTCCCAGAAGATTTTTTAGTAATTAAATTTTATAGCTTCCTAAGCATCTTATTCTCTGTGCTCAAAGGAAAATATTGACAACTTTTTTTTTCCTTCCAGACTCTGCTGATAAACAAGATGCTCTGCCACAAACTACAAAAGAGAAATGAAAATATCACGTTAATGCTTTTGGAACACATTACTTACTGTGGTGGCACAGTGGATGTCTTTCCATACATTGGCTTCCCTGGAGAGATCTGAGACTTCAAAAAGGTTATCAAGAATAACTTCCCCAATCATGTCATGTCTAGAAAATCTGTCAAAATCATAAACACTGAAATGCAATTTCCTGTTGCTGAGTTGATCATAGGCTACAGGAAACTGAAAGGTTTCATCAAAGACAGGATTTAATGTCTTTCTGTGAACTCGTGTCTGAAACTTCTTTTTCCTATCTGGAAGCAGATAAATCTTAACGTAGGGGTCGGATGTTCCTGTGAAGTCTTTAGCAGGCAGATCTAAGGCTTTGACAATTGTGACAGCCAGAAGTTCATTCTCATAATCATACCGGAGAGTGAAGTTAAGTTTTCCACATGTTTTCACATCTTCTTGTTGCCCATCAGAATCCACAGACTTCTGTTTGTAGAGCTCTGGTTTTATTCTCCCAATGCTGGTTGTCGTCTCTCCCCTTTGCAAAACTGGATCTGTCCCCATGTTAAAATCAACACTGGACACTTGCATCTGCCTTGGCAAGTGCCTCCTGAAAGAATTGTGCCTGCACACATACACATACACACACATAAAATGAGCCATGGTTATCTCTGGGAAAAGACCTGGCTATTACTAAGTAGAAAATACAAGAAGACCAAATTAGTGAGGGTTCCTCTCTTTAAAATAATTTTAAAATAATCCTCCCCCTCCCCCCCCCCCACCCCCCCAAGTTTTGCAAATGTTAAAACACCCTTGAGAAGAAATGGTCACTCAGAATGACCTTCCTCACCCAAGAGGCACCCAGTGTCCTGGCAATACATATATTTATAACCTTGTTTTCAGGCTACGCAGCTGAAACTGAACTCAGGTTCTTTCACAGAACAAGTTGACAGTTCCAAAATTGCTTGATCCCCCTGTGCTAGGGCCTGAGTACAATATAGTCAGGCAGAAGAAAAATCACCTGCAGAACTGTCATCGGTACTTCATGGGTTTTGGAGGCATTCTGCAATGGTTTTCCAATTAAATATTTACCAAGCTTCACAGTCATTGCTGTGAAAGGCACCTGAAAAGGCCACGCAGAGCTATGTCTGGAGGTTTTCAGCATAGGGCTTTGCCATCCTACAACATTTTATATACACCTGCTCAGTATTTGCTATGCCGAGGTACAGGCTGCCTTCTCCCATCATACTGGGAACATTTTGTTCTGGCTGCAATACATTTCAAAGTTTTGGGCAACATGTTTCTGTGATCGATAGGTTTTTTTCCTTCTGTTCTCACACTCTGCGGTGTAGTGTATTACAAAGCTGATTCCTGTACTCCTAACAAGAAACAATTTGTTTAAATCCTTGCGATTCTGAATATGGTGTTGCACAAGTGTATGTATTTATGGGCTTATCTTGAGTCATGAACATCAAGGGAAATTTGTGCCTTTCCTACTCGGACTGAAATCATATCCCTGGTAAGCCATACAGCCTTACAGTAGTATAAAAACAGCGGTCAAAGAGCTTCATAGAATTAATCAACATCAGATGTCAGTATGACCACAGTCCAGTTTATTTTTTGGACATTGTCACATTTCTTCACTACCCCAACAATCTGTACTGGAAAAGCTCACTATCTCCTCCTGTGAACATACTTAGTTGCCATTAAAAAACAATTTAATTGTCAGAATTTCCTCTGCTTTTTGCAATCAATTGCTTATTAATGCCAAATGCAGCCTTCCTTATTGCTTGGTTTCCCTGTGGTGTTGTGTTCTGAAAACAAGAGGTGTCACAGCTGTGTGTTTCTTTCTTTAAATCAGAAATGCAAATTGTCCATTTGAAAACAACCAGGACTCATTTCAGAGATATTATTTATATTTTTGCTCTAAGTGAAGTGGTTGCAGAAGGCACGAAGCACAAAACTACTGCAGTTCAGCTGAGCAGAGATACAAGAGGGTAATCTGCAGCCATTAAATAATAGACAAGAACGCTTCCCCTTTTGGCTGTTTCAGCGCTGGTAGGTGCAGGGAGCAGTCCTATCATTACACAAGAACAGGAGAGGCAGAACTTCACAGTCGAGATTTGAAGTAGCTCCAAAAACTCCAGGTGTTTTGATTTCAAATTTAGATGAACAATACACGCCTCTCATAACACATTCTACCCTTCTTTTTTCACAGACAGACAAGTTGAAAGATTTTCTTTTCTCATCAATGTTAAAACTTGCCAAATTCATAGTATACGATGTCTACACTGGAATGGAGCTAGGAGTCGAAAGGCCCTAACTAGTCAGAAAAGTACAATATTGTCCTCATGGAGTTTCAGGGCTATCCTTGTGCCTTTGTCCTCTGGGAAGGCCAGCCTAGGCATGCTGAACGTGGGGAGGGAAGTGAACTCCACACAAAATGCAGCTGCAATACATGTTTGGGCATGCAGCAATTTAGGCACTAGCTCTCCACTATCTTTGACTCCTAACGAAGTCCAGAAGGCCTGGGTTACTGCTCCTTCTGTCTGTACTAATGAAACTTGTGCAGATAGGCCCTGCTGAGTGCTGCTCATGCTGGCAGCTGCAGTACTGAGATGGCCAGATAATCATGTTCAAACCTTGCCATAGACAAGCAGCAGAGAAAACTGCCTCTGCAGGGGAAACAGGGAAGCTGACTGTATGGCATTTCCAGTTTGAGTGAGAACGGATACACAACAAATTCTTTTTTCCTCGACTTCTCTTGCATTTATGAAGATCTGAGCTAATACTTGTAAAAGTAACATATAAACCCCCAAATCTATGATTTCTAAGGTACCAACCTTCTTTCAAATTTTCAAACTTTACGCACATAAGATCCTTTAGTGAACATAGTCATTGTTGGGAGATGTCACTATGTAAAACCATGCAGCTGTACAGCTGTTCCCTGCGGGAACCAGCAGTACTTTTGCTCTAGTAAGCCAGAGTCCTAATTACATAGCACCTAGTATCTGTTCTGAGTCACAGCATTTCACCAAGACAGCTAATTGGTCTGTTAATTATTAAGATGCTTCATTGTTGTCATGGCAACATATTTATCTTCCTTTGTTCTGCAATAACAAAGGAATTAATGACTGTGATAATGAAATACAAGGATGTCAGGCAACCACGTTGTGAAAATGCTGCAAAGCTACTAATGTGTGCAAATCTAGGTACTTCAACCCCTACTGGCTCTTACAGGTAGCATTCCTACAATAGACATGCCTTCCATAACTTAGAACAAATAGATTTTGAGTGACAGTAAAACTGTATGTAAATCTCCAATATAAAATTGTGCTTGCATAGGAATAATGATAGTGTGAAGCTGATTTCTAATTCAGGACTGCCATTCGTAAGACGGAAGACAAGGATAGGATGCTGATTTATGACATGACTTGAGATTTATGAGGGGTGGCTCTGGTCTAGCTTTCTTAGATGACATTAGACCAATCTTTCGGACCAAATCCAGGAATGGACAGCAGCACTTGTGGTATTTAGACAGAAGCGAGGCTGCTGTGTCCTCCTTGCAATCATTAAAGTCAACAGATCTGCTCGTTTTTCCTTAACCTTAACATTCCCAAGCACCTCACTTTTGTCTTTGTGCCTCTTGGGAACCCACTTACTCTTTGCAGAGCTGAATGACAAGCTCCTCTCCCACCTAATGTGAAAGAGCAAAATGCACATTCTTTGAAAATACAGGTGAACATTTGAAGGAAGGATTATCATAGAAGCGATCAACTGTATTACAGACTACTTTCACAAAGTATTGGGCAAGAGTGGTTCTCAATAACATAGAGCAAAAATGTTTTTAAATGAACACCATTGATGCAGGACTTCCATCGTAGTTTACTGGTTAATTTGGATCAAGGATTAAAGAGCTTTTCCTTTCTTTTCCACAAGCGGGTTTTTTCAGACTATTGGGAACTATGAAAATTATATAGTTCTAATTAAGCAGAAATTCATCACTTCTCTACACTAACATGTCTCCATGTTAAATGTACAGTCTGTAAAAAGTGATCAGGCACGTTTTATTATTGCTCTGAATTGCTTCTTAAAATCATTATACTTCAATTACAATGACTTAATATGATTCTATTTCTTTTATTAAGAGCTGATGGCTGCAAGATCCTATTACAGAACTGGTTACAGCCCTTTTCTTTGCCCCAGCTCAGGTGAGATCAGTGTAGAGGAGGCAATCCAGACAGCAAACATTTCTCTTCAATCCTTTGTCAACTGTTAAGGGATGGTGTATTTGGGTCACTCGGGACTCCTGAGTACAACGAAGCAAGAAGGTCCAAGAGAAAGCTATGCTACCTCTGTGCCTGCTAATGGCTCCCCTTTATTCAGAGGTCCCCAATGAGGGACACCAGGGACAGTTTTTAGCCATTTTGTGAAATATTCTGTGACACAAAGGAGAAGGAGTAATCCAGAAAGGTGGCCTGTATGTCCAGCCTTCATCTCATACATGATATTCTTGGCAGTAGTAAGTAATGTGGGCTGTGGGAAGGCTAAGACTCATTAAAGGCTGGCAGGGGTATAGAAAAAATGTATTTACAAACACAGAAAGGACCATTTCTGGGTAATTTTTTAAGACACTTCTCATTCTAAACATGTTTTGTAGCTAGGGTGCTAAGTTTACTGGCAAACTGTAAAGGAAAGTGATGTCTCCGAACACCCTGCTATGAACTGGCTAAGACGGAACAACCAGGGTTACTCCAAGCAAAAGAACTGTCCCTGTCAGGAGAGATTTAACCTTGATGATCTAGAGAGAAAAAAAAGCTCCCTTACAAAAGTTACCAAAGTGTGCAGAAAGAGTAGGATTGATGGCAGGTTTTAATTTTGTGAAACAATCCTTGGCTTCACAGATATTTTATATGCATTTAGATCCCTGTACAAATCACTCTGGAGGTCTGTGGAAATAATTTCACAGCCTGAAGCAGCTCTGGATCATGTACCTCGAACTTCTTTCTTCCCCTGTAGTACCACAGGGACTATTTAAGTCCATTTGCCAGCCAGCTATTTCTTTTGTCTCTTCAGGAAGTCAGACAGTCTGGCTACCTACAGATTTACCATGATGGATAAAACTCTTCCAATTAAAATCCCATTAGGTAATAGCGAGTTGTGTAATATCCTTGTCATGCTAAGCTGTATCACTTTTGGGTCCCTCTGTGTTTAGTATAGCAGTTACAATTTCAAAGTTGTCTTCCCAGTATTTTGGAAATGTTCCTCAGAGTGGCTTGGATACTGCGCTCCTCCTCTGAGCAGATGGATACAGTGGCTGGAGCCAGGCATAGCCAGGGTAATGTGGCTAAAAGCCAGCTGTACAGTCCTGTAATTTGGGACAGGGTTCAGCTGCTAAAGTCAGTGAGACCTCCCCTGGCTGGAGTGCCCTCATTTTTTGGGAGCCTCCTGTGCTTGCCTGCTGGCTGTTCCACGCTGTTGGAATAGCTGAGAAAAGGCACTTCAGCACCCATCACCGCAATGAGCCCACTGAGCTGGCAAAACGCTGTCGTAGGGACTCACAGAAGGCCAGCAAAGTACGTGCCCACTAAATGTAAAGCATGTGTCCCCTCCAATCTTGTGCCTCCAACGATTACTGCGAATGCGAGCTTTTTTTTTTTTTTTTGCTTTGGTAGCATGTGTTCATTTAGGAAATGTTTTATTGAGGAAAAGCTACTTCCTATACAGTGTTTGTATTCTTACTTACAGCATTATGCAACACTTCAGGTGCCTCCTTTAGCCTTCATTTTCCTATCTTTGTTTATAAAACATTTCCCCCCTTCTTTTTTCTGATGTAGAAAGCAATCTTTGCAGTTCACTGTTTGTTTTTCATGTATTAAATTTCCTGACAGTATTTGAAGACAACCTCGTTTGAAACTATAGGTCACTGCACACATCTTCACTACTTTTCAATATAAAGTGGTACCTGAGACAAAATAAAAGTTTGTGTCCTCCACTTTAATACAAAATAAATCAATTCAGCAATACTACATGCTTGCCATTTATTTAAGGATCTATATAAAAACTGTACTGCTTTAAGATCAGTTCTACATTCTTAGACTGGGATTTCAATTCCTTTAAAAGTGGCAAACCATGTCTTAAAGAAATGTGCCATCAACAACAAATCTGTCATTTATTTAGTGGAGAAGGAAACTTTCAGCTGCAAAGCAACGGCTGTATCTGTAAAAATATCTCTGTGAAAAGCCAGACATGCAGTGCTTTAAAAAATAACACTGAAATAGATTTTCCTATACACAGAACCTAAAATGGAAATGCTTGAAGTAGTAACATATGTATTTACAAAGTAGTAGAAGACGTAGATTTGATCTCCGTATGTTAAAATAATGGTGTAACTGAAGGTACACCGTATGTTTCAGAATGTTCTGTTCAAAGGACACTGAGGCTTTGCCTTCACGTGACTGCTGTCTCACCCCTAACTGCTAAGAAGTCAGTGAATGATCCAGGGTTCTGGAAATTTTCAGCAGAGTGTTCTGGCTCTACCTGTTCCCAGGAAACATGCCACAGATGCGAGGGCCCCCAACTTACCTTGATGACGATGTGGGCTCAGTGATCTGCCTCTGCATGCGTGCATGTCTGATCAGATGCTCTTTCAGTGCATTCTGGACCTCTGCTGGTATATCAGGTGAAGTGTGGCTAATTTTCAACGCAGCTTCAAGTACCTTTGTTGTAGGTTTCCCATTTTCTTTAACTTCCTTTTTCTCACTGGTTTCAAAAACCTCCGTGGGAGCACTGGAGTTGCTCTGAGGGACATTACTGGCATTGGAAGTGAGAGGTTTGCTTCTCCAGCAGGGCCAACACAACTTCCAAAAGACAAAAAGTGAGACCACCAGCAAGGCAAGCCCGCAGAAGCTGACGACTACTGCTAACAGACTGACTGAGATGTCTGCAAGGAATTAGAAGAAAAGATCATCGTGACAGACAAACATGGAAAGAAAAAAAAAAAAAAACCAAACCAAAAATTACACAGGTAAGGAGTTAGAAGCATTTTGATCATTATCTTGTGTAAAGCTTTAAAGTCCTATTTAATTTTTTTTTCCTTTTTTCATATCTAAACCTGCACCTTTAAAATGTTATAATTCTCTAATAACTATTTCACAAATACTCCATTAATGGTTGTTCAGACGAGAGGCCAGGATCTGTACCACTAGCCATGCACTCAGTCAGACTCGTCAGGAAGTAAGGGACTACCCAAATGGTCCCAAAGACACCGAGCCATTGCGGTCAAAGGGTGCCTGCTCAGGAACACGTCTTGCTGAAAAAGTTAAATCACACTCAACAGTTTCTATAAGTGCACATGAAGATAGAACGGTTCTAAACCACCAGGCTGATACACAGATTTCTTCAGGACTTGCCAAATTTTTGACTCTGTGTGCTAACTGCTTTAGAAACACGTTAAAACTTAATGTATAAGTGGCTTAAATAGGCATGGGATCTATCTGTCGTAAGAAAGAAACTTCTAGGGTTAAATCTTAAGCTCTGGACCAAGGCTCTGTTTGACCAAGACAGTACATATACATTGGTATCTAAAATTCTGCTCTGAAAATGCAGCTGCCTTCAGAGTACACTATACAATGCCCTGAGTTGTAGAGAGACCACAATGTACACTTTGCTACCTCTGCTGCCCTGTATTTGACTTTTTCTGCCACAATTAGTTAGCATATTCACTAGCATGGCCAAAGATAGAAGAACAGATTTCATACCAAGGTAATCCTGGGAGCAGACTTGTATTTTAGCAGATGGTGGATCACCAGAAATGCCAGCTGAGCCATAATTAGGAGTTTTATCCTACATGACATGTTTCAATTTGATTTTTCCAGTATCACGTAATACTATAAAACATAAATTAAAAAATCCCTTTCTTTTCTAAAAGAGCCTTTTGTATGCTTTACAAGCATCCAATAAACCCTGCTTAAAAGTCCCTCAAGCAGTGGCTGCTGCTGCTTGCTGCAACAAGTTTTCACAGTTTAACAGCCAGTATTTTGTACCCATAGCTCCAGGCCACAGGCTACTAAACTGAAGCAGAGGAAAAGTGCAATGAGTTTCAGCCTATTTTTTCTAGAGGATCACAGGAAGAAAAATAGTCCTCTAGGTATGTGTTAGCTCCATGGAACAGTATGTAGCTCACAGTTCCCTTTGAGAGATGAAGATTCCAGCAGAAAATTTGGGAACGTTTTCTTTATTAATATATAATATCCAGACACATCTCTCAGTAACAAACACTGAGCTTAAGGCAAATTCAACATGAAAATGTGTGAGAATTTGCAAAAGCAAATAGAAATTGTTTGTAGTCTAGAGATTTGAAAGATACAGTTCTGCTCAACCTTACTTCATATACGTCCTGGCCAGTGTCATGGGGGAATTGGCTGAGGATCTGCTTCTTTTAAAGAGTTTGGCACAAGCTGCTGCCCTGCCTTGAACATAAGTATGCCTCCTTGAACATTTTCTACCAGTCCTGAGCAAGGTGTCTTCCTCTTCTGCCTGTAGTTAAATGTCAAAATGTAGCCCTTGGAATATACATGTCAGCTTAATGAGAACTCCATATGGCAAATACTGATTTAAGGTGCTTCCATAAAATTAATGGATGCATAATTGTATCTAATAACAATGCAACACAAGAAGCAAATGATACTTTTTGTGTATGACTTTCTAGATAATTTACCCTCAGTAGGGATTATTGGGCTATTTGGTTTAATCTACTGTTCACCCTGATTTCCTTTGTGAGCTCAGTGATTTTTACTTGGCTTCTGGGTGTTCTGCAGCAGACTGTCCCATCTTGTCAAGAGAAGCCATGAAGAGATGCTGAGTTTACAGCTTGTTTCAATGGTTAGTCACTTTGTTGCAAATTTGTATTTCTGATTTGTATTGTTGTAGTTCTAATTTGCAGTCATTGCTTCTTTCATGTCTTTGTATGAGAGATTAAAAGATACAATATGCTTCATAAGACATGCCTATACAACATACAAATATAAGATAAACAAACCCAGGACTTGAAACTCAATTGCTTATACCAGTCTCTGGAACGGTTTTAAACTGGGCCAGTTCATACTCTCCCAGCCAATTCCTGGGCATGGATCAGAAATTAGAGCAGGCCAATGATCATTCGTAATAGGTGGTTTGGATGTGGCCCTTCTGCTTCAGCAGATGACAGACATTAATAGCATGGAGAGAGGCTCTTACACAGGAGTTGGCCTCAGTGCCAGAGAATGGTCATAAGTGAATTTAGTATGTTAATACAGAGGTATGCCCCACTGAAGGAACCTCTCTGATAAATTGAACCAGCTGAATTTTCAATCAAGCTGGATAAAATATTTTTTCATTCTCAAAGCCTGACAAAAAGTGGAACTCTTTTAAAACATTGATAATCTATCAGAAATAAAGACAACAAAAAACAATTTGATTTGGGGTCATTTGCAGTATTTCCAGCTCAGTTTAGAGGTGGTTGGCATAATTAAGTTACGTTTTGAGAGGAAGGCTTTTAGAACTGAAAATTGTAATTTTTTTTCACGTAGAAAATGTTGAAACAGATTGTTTTAACAACTTCGAAACTGCTGGAAACATTTCAAATCCAGAAATATGAAAATTGATCCCTTCCAGCAGAGATTCAATTTGATGAATAGATACTATCAGCTGAAAAACATTCCATCAAAGCATTTCTAGCCAATTCTATTTTAAGTTTTTCACTGCAAGACATTTTTCAAGCCTTCAAATAACTTGGTGTCTCCTTTCAACACCTACTTCCATACTTCAACTTTCTCTAAGCTCTTTTTCTGTATTTCCATTAAAATATTTCAAATTCGAAGTCACTTCCAAAATCTTTACAGAAAATGTATGTTTTATAGCCCTAAAAAATCACATGAAACATCTGAATTCTCAAAAGCAGAGCAAAGGAGCTAATTCTACAAACAGTTGTACAAATGATAGTCTCAATTTTTGCTATTTTACTAATAAATTAAACAACCTCACATACTGGATTTCATAATACAACAAATACCTGAAACATGATATATTTTAATTGCCAGGAAATTGACCAAAAAATAGTTCACTGCAAAAAAAAAAAAATCTTTAATTACATTTACTGCCATGATTGCTAAAAAGCAATCAGTAGGCCATATAAATTGACATAAAAAGCATATTGCTTTATTTCCTCACTTCTGACAGTCACTCAATTGAGCAATTATGGGAGATTTGCTGTTATGTGAAGACTGAAATAATATGTAGAAGAGCAGTCAAATGGAACTTCCCAAATCCTTTTCATGTTAAACTGGATACGTCTCTTACATTACCTTTTTCTAGGAAGTTTGGTTTAAGAATACAAAGCATTAAGAGACAGTTCTGCAGACTAGGAGTTTCTTCATATCCCTGCCAAGGAAACCTGGTTGGGAAGGAAAATGGGTACTGAGGGATGGATGTGTCATCAGACCAGGGCTGCACTTCACATATGTAAGTATTATTTAAAGATGTAGAGCAGGAGACAAATTCAAAGACTGTCTGTGTTTTTAGAGGCAGAAGGAGATGTACTTACTCTGCTGGGATAACGTTAACTGCCAACATCGTAAACAACATTCTCACTGGTTTCCGGTATGAAGGAAGAGAAAAATCATCTCAAACTACAAGCGGTTGTTTGAAAACTTTTTCTGAACTGCTGATTGCAGCTTGTCTTCAATGCTACACATTTGCACAGAATAGGACACCTTTCTGAATGTTCATCTGGACATGCAGCATTATCATCGAATCATTTAGGTTGGAAAAGACCTTTGAGATCATCAAGTCCAATCATTAACCTAACGCTGCCATCCCACCACTAAACCATGTCCCTAAGCACCTCATCTACCCGTCTTTTAAAT